GAGGGGAGGAGAGGAATTAAATTTGAGGGGGAGGGGGGAAAGGAATTAAATTTGAGGGAGGGGGGAGAGGAAGGAAATTTGAGGGAGGGAGAGAGGAAGGAAATTTGAGGGACGGGGGAGAGGAAGGAAATTTGAGGGACGGGGAGAGGAAGGAAATTTGAGGGACGGGAGGAGGGGAAGGAAATTGGAGGGACGGGGGAGAGAAGGAAATGAGAGGGAGAAGAAGGAAATTGGAGGGGGAAGAAGGAAATTGGAAGAGAGGGAGAAGGGGAGAAGAAGGAAATTGGAGAGGGAGGGGGAGAAGAAGGAAATTGGAGGAGAGGGGGTGAGAAGGAAATTGACGGGGGGAGGGGGAGAGATTGACATCCATCACACACAATGCACACCTTGCACACAGAAAAACACACAATGCATTACACACAGACACACGTACACAAGCAATGCATCCCTTACACACAGCAACACACAATGCACCCCTTACACACACTCAATGCATCCCTTACAGATGCACACACTGCATCCCATACATACACAAACTCATCTTGCAGCCCTTACACATACAAACACAGATTCACACAATGCATTCCTTACACACATCAGGACATCCCCCACACACACACTCCACTCCCTGTGAACAAACTCATTGGTGGAACATGAAGGTGGACCCTGGGACCCAGACCTTGAGCTGTGTAAAGGGCCCTCAAAAAAATGGAGCTGCTTCCCGTTCTCCCAGAACAGTGATTTTTGTGACCACAGTTACAAACCGCCTCCAGAGAGCCTGTTGTACACCAGACCAGTGGAGCCAGACGGCAGCTAGAGCCCATCATCATCCTCATCTGGTTGTAAGTAGGCAATCTAGTATATTATTCGTGGCACTAATCTCTAATTTACCTCACATTAAAGGGACACTATAGTCCCCAGAACCACTGCAGCTTAATGTAGTGGTTCTGGTGTCTAGCCTGTCCCTGCAGGCCTTTTAATGCAAACACCGCAGCACTGGTGTTAGTTAACATGGCAGATCATATGGGTGGGGCATTGTGATGTCACATGGGGGGGCGGCAAACTTTACTTTTGCCTAGGGCGGCAAAAATCCTTGCACTGGTCCTGCAGACACTGCATCCCTGTGGGCGGATTCGGAGGGGGGGGGCAGCACTTTGGGCGGACTCGGGTGCAGGCACCGGGGGGCCCAGACCTTGAGCTGTGTCAGGGGCCCCAACATTTCTGATGGCAGCCCTGAGGAAGAAGCCTCCATTCGTGCAATCAGCAGTTGTGTCCTGCTTATGATCATCTACACCACCTTTTGCGACACCTTCTCTAATCCGAACATCGACCTGGATACCTTCAGTTTAGTCGTTATTGTATTCATCATATTTTTTATCCAGCTGGCTTTTATGCTTTTAACAGACCCCCATCAATGTGAGCTGTTCTTGAGTTGCAGTACTCCATGTC